CAAAAATTTTTCATTCCGGCGCACTCTCTGCATGTTTGGCACAAAAAACCCTTTTTTGATCATTTTCAAAAACCTATTTTCTTGGCACAAGTAAAACTTGTTGGAGAACTTTGTCGTTTTTCTCTCAGTGTACGTAAATTTGAAAACACATGAGTCATTGACCTGCCTGTATTTGAATCGGAATAAATATCAAAACAAATTCAAATGCCTGCGGAAAGGATTCACTGATTTTTATTTTCGAGGACAGGTGGAAATGGTAAGTTATTGTATCTTTTGTAATCTGGATTATTTAAGGGGCATGGCTCACAATGTTGAACTGTAATTGATTTAGGAAGTGGCACTCAATTGTGTTTTTTGAAGAAGTTTTCCTTTTTTGATTACCAGAATTTCAGAGAAATTTATTTGTGAAATAATTTTCAATAAAGGAGCAAGTAAAATCAAATCAATCAAAAAGAAATAAATAATAGTTGAAAATAAATCAAATAATTATAAATAATAATGAATAATAAATAAAAATAATAATATGATAATATGATGAATAATAAATAAAAAATAAATCAAATTAATCAAATATTTGATTAATTTTTTTTTTCAGTCCTAAAACATTTATTTTAATACATTGAAATTTTTTTAAATATTCACCCATTTCCATACACCACGACAAAAAATTTCTTTGTTAATCTCCTCAGTTTGATCTCAACAACCGCTCCATTATTTCTCCGTCAGATCATCATCCAGCGTATAAACGTACGCCGAAGGCGTTGAGACACCGCACTTTACTCGAACATCAACAAAGTCGAGTTTATAAATCCCCGTATGATGGAAATTTTGCGGCTCGTATCATGAATATCCAGCTATCTGACTTGCGCACGGCTCGTGCTGGGTCAATTAACCCCGGTGAAAAAAGGAGGAGATGCATCAGTGAAGAAGTCAGTGTTTTGAAACCATCTGTTTACCGGAGAGTGGCCAGTGAGTGTAATTGGTGGGTTCGATGGGTCGCGTGATTATTAAGCCTACCGTTCTAACACATGCTGCCCCTCGCATACACACATCCCTGATTATCCTAGCTCCTTTGTTATTACGGGATGAGAAGGGACATGCAGGCGTCAAGTCGTGTATTAAGTTTTTCATTAACATTTTCCGCGACACGGACAGGCTGCACTGAGTGAAAAAATTAGCTCTGCTGAAAAACTGTATGTTCCACGTGAAAATATTTGCTGGAGTGGCACAGATTTAGTTGAGGGACCTTAACCAACTTGATAGAAGGAAATTTAATATCCTTCACAAAAATTAAATGTTTGTCATGATCATCAGAAATATTCCTAGAAGAATTCGAACTGTTGGCAGGAAAAAATCTAATCTATTGTACGACAATCATTTGATCTGAGAGAACTCCATAGGTTTATACCATAGAAAGAATACATTGACGAGGAAAGAATTTTTGTTTCCCAAAAAAATTGTCCACTAATTTTAATTATTTGTAAACTTTAAAGACTAGTTGTTGAAAATTAATTAGCAAAATCACTGATGGTCAGGGTCATGTTAGTCTGTGTCTGGAATCACCAAAAATTGGTGATAGATTCCTGAAAATTAGTGTCAGGCCCTAAGAAATCAGTGACTTGTTCCTAACAATTATAACTTCTTTTCTCTGTGTATGTGACCTCCACATGACCATCAGAATCAAGAGCCCAAAACAGAAAATAAGAATCTGCGAAGTATTTATTTATTCGTCCACAATGATAATTCATAACTTGAATCATTGCAGTGTCCCAGTCATTACCCAAACATTCCCTGAATCACATGCAATAAAAAAAAATGGAAAAAAAATAAAGAAACAACATCGGAATGCAACGCCGGTCCACTCCAGAAGGAGTAGCTGTCGGCCAGTGAAAAATCACGCACCCCAGTCCCGCTCTCGAGCATCTGCTCTACATACACAGGCTCTCAACCGCGCATTTCTACACGAGCGCGCCCCGAATAATCCGGATTTTTTTCGGGGGTCTTTCTGAAACCGCCACCCCCGCAAACAATCCATCCCCAATGGGCGATTGAATCAACAAAAACCACGCAAATATGATTTTCTTAAAATAAGAAAACTCAGTTTGATATTACTTTGAATAGTTTCTTTTATTGAAATGAAATGACTATTTTTTTGGGTGCATAGTTAAATAAAAATCCAGTGGGAAATTGCTTTCGTCACAACATCGTCAATATATTTGAGCTAATAAATTAGTGAATTGCTTCTGAATGGATTTTCTATGATGATGTATTTTTTATTTAATTCAATGATTCTTGAATTCAACATTGCCCCAACGTTGGCAGGTAACATTGCTTCAACATTGGCGGTCAGCATTGGTTCAACCTTCCAGCTGCAAAAAAAAAAAAAAAATTCTCAGAGAATTAGAATTTAGAGAGAAAAAATTTCCGCTTCACCCAGCCGGGAATCGAACCCGGGTCTTCCAGATACGCGCCGGGCACTCTTACCGACTAAGCTACCGGGAACCACAGAAATTCACCTCAAACTAAGATTGTCCCAACGTTGCAAACCAACCTTGTCCCAACGTTTGCAGCCAACATTGACGTAAGGTTACTCGCCAGCATTGTCCCAACGTCAGTAGTCAACACTGACCTAACGTTTGAAGCTAACATTGTTCCAACCTTTGCAGCTAACATTAACGTAAGGTTAGGAACCAGCATTGCCCCAACGTCAGTAGGTAACATTGACCTAACGTTTGAAGCTAACATTGTTCCAACCTTTGCAGCTAACATTGACGTAAGGTTACTCGCCAGCATTGTCCCAACGTTGGTAGCCAACATTACCGCAACGTTAACAGTCAACACTGGCTCAAGGTTGACACGCAACCTCACCCCAACGTTAAAATTTCTTATTTCAAAATAATTTTGTTCAACAACAGCCAAGGAAATTAATCTCACGAACGAACTCGGTAAAGACGGCACTGAGAAGAATATTTTAAATCTCAATTGGATTCATTGAAAAAATTATTTTTTTACTTCAGATTTGGCGAATCCAATGCTTCCATTCGAAAGCAAAAAACCCTAATGTACAACTAAAAATACAAGCGTCCGGCTGATTACGTACATTCTCCCTGCAGCTACTTTAATGTCAGCGAAATGGCATCCATCTACACGTTTTTTTCCTTCCTCAATTCCGTATCCCATCAGCTTTATCATAAATAGCAACTAGTACTTAATTAATACAGAGTGTAGGTGTAAGGAAATGTGTCGGGGGGTTTTTTATTAGTGATTCACCAGCGCGGAGACTCAATTAGTCCCCCTTTATGAATTTTCATAAGTATACGCGTGTAAGGGGAAATCGGGTGCAAGAAAAATTTGCGGTGTTGATTTTTTTGAATAATTTAAAGTACAGTGTGATACATTGTGGAGAATCAGTGGCGTTTGAGAACCGTCATGCTGGCAGTGGTGGTGAAGCGGAGCAAGATATACGTGTGCGCGGGTTGGGCTACCGGTCGGTCGGGTCGGGTCGCTGTTCTCCTGTTGTTTCATTCTGCTCGTTTTAGTCACTTTTGTTGTTTCTCTATATACTCTCCGGTCCCCTCTTTTTCTCCCCTCGACTTTTTTATCTCTCTCGTTTGCCTCATCCCGATTCGTTTTTACACGTGCACGGGGTATGTGGTGGTACCTGTTGTTCAATTGTTTTATTACGGTTTGTGAACGCCGACGTCGATCGGATGGTAGCTTTTGTTGGTTGAGCTACTTTTCAGTTGCTCGGCCAACAAAATATTGCTGCTTTTCAATTAATTTACTGGTGGACAAACGAGAAAGTTTCCACCATAATATGATAATTTTCGTAGTTGTAATTGTTTTCGTGAGACATTTATATGTGTTGTGATCACAATGAAACAATACGGAAAGAATATACCTGAATTCAATTGGGGGATGGGTATTTCAACTCGAAGTCATTACTTAATGACTCACGAAATTTTATGATCGTGCAATCATTTTCCTGCGTTTTTTCTACAACTTTTTGGAAATTCACAAAACTTTAGAAAAAATGCAGGAAAATGATTGCACCACCATGAAACTTCGTGAGTCAGTCAATAATGGTAAAACGCAAAAACGGTATATTATTTCGTGTCAATCCGACCAATAATTTGCCAGAAAAATTAACGAAGTAGGGGGCAGCGAGCATGTGGCAGTGAACATCTCACTCATTAATTTTTTAAATATTTTCTTTGCCATCAATAAATTGATGGGCTTCCGAATGGTTTTTAGCGTAATAAAATTTGATTTCAACTTGATATTCCGATTTTTTCGTCTGCTAGAGACCGAACAACGATTTCGAGGTAAAGATAGAAAAATCGATATATCTCGAAAACTTTGTATGAACGGGTACATATATTTTGATTGATTAAGGTAGAGGACATCAAGACGAACATTTAAAAAAAAACATTGAATTCGGTTGGATATTTCCCGAGATATTTGGGAAAAAGCGTAAAAAAACAAATTACTATTTCACAAAAATTAATGGACGGATTCAGCTGTACTTTGGCGTAGAGTTAGTCCCAAATTATACCAATAAACTGACAAAATTTCAAATTATTTGGGATTTTGCCTGTTAATTCGTCAATTTTAAGAAAAAGTGACCACCGACTGGACATGATCACACACAGACATGGTCCTCAAACTTCGTATTTCTCCGTTTCAGACCATTCTGCATCGTTTCCAACCAAAATTAGCGAGTCAAAAAATCGATGAAATGCAAAGCTTCTATTCGGACGCAAAAAACGTGAATTTTGGTCGAAAGGGTGTAGTACATCCTTAAACCGATGTCTCCGGACACCTGCCGACACCCAGCGAAATATCCGGACGTTGTATTGTTTCTCACACGACCTCACGAATTAATTAATCTCTCGACTAATGGGGTAAGGTACGAGTTCAGCGAGTGCGTGGCCTGCGCAGTGCTTCACAGGGGTATAATCAATATCAGCTTGGAAGTTTTCCCCGGATAACAACTTCGATACCATGTGTGGCAGTTCCACACCTACCCTTCCGTGAGATCGTCCTCTCCACCTCAATCACGCGCAATTTATTGCTCCAGTACCACCTGAATATGCTGATAAGTCCCTTCATCACGATAAACTAGACCCCCTCACCAATTTCGCGCGTCCGTTGCTCTGGAGACATGGTGTGAAGCGATTGTGTCCGGACTGGAATCAAGATGGATGGCAGAATGATGTTGGGTGTCAACGTCGGCGTCATCGCGCTGCTGACGATATTCACTGGATTCTTGGTGCTTCCATTCAGACTTCTTCTCGATGCCAATCACGAGGTTCAGCGGAATACTTCGACGAACACGACGGCAAGGATTGAGGAAGTGATTGAGTTCCGGAAGCTGCGCTTGTGCTCCGCGGGGTACAAATACTGGGTTGCGTCGACTTTCATGAGCAATTACGACAGGAATTGCACGTACGAAGGCTCTCAGAGGAGTTCGAACGACGCGAGTGACAATGGGAAATCGAATGGGAGTAATTTGCCGAGCGGCTTCCGAGTCATTCGTCCAAAATCTGTTCCTGTGACCGATCATATCCTCGCGCTCATGCTCATCGTCTCCGTCATCGGGGCGTTCGTGGAGCTGCTGAGGCTGCGGTTCATCAATCCCGAGGTATGGAATTTATCGGAGATTCTGTAGTGTCACACGGGAAGAAAGTTGGAGATAAATTAACGAACAGATGGAGTGATCGTGGAGCGATAATCAGTTATTGGTCTTTTTGCTTCCGAATGGAAGCTTTGTAATCGCTTAAATTTAAGTTTACAATTTTTTGTGTTAGAGTAACTGAATGTGATCTTAAAAGTCTGAATATGGAGATAGACTTTAATAAGCTCTACTCATTGACACTAATTACAATTCAAATTTTCATACAAATTCGAAAAAATTGATATTTCTCCAAAATCGATGTTTAACGATCACTCAAAAAATCGTCATCAAAAAGGCATTAGTCATGGCTCAAAAATTTGACAACAATACCCTCTTGATTCTATCAGAATATGGTGGGGGTCACACAATGCGTTGTTGAGTTACAGCACATTGTTTATGCGATTTGAAAGAGAAAATCGGTTTTTTCATGATTACTGAAAGAATCATCAGTAATAGCAGTTAAATCAGAGCTTGAAAAGTATATTTCAATGGCTTCTTAATAAAATTGAGAAATGGGGAGAACAACATCATTACTTATCAAGTTACACAATAGCGTCATGAGCTTTTTATATAAAAATCTCTATCTCTATTAAACTCAGGGACCAGTTTATTACGTTGAATACTTATTCATATTGATTCATGGTCCCGACTAACTTCTGACAGAACCTGGATTAAACTCTCGCTAAATCCTGAATAAACCCTGATTAAATCCTGGCTATACACTGATTAAACCTTGATTGAACCTTGATTAAACCGGGACTGAAAACGAATTTGAGTCTTGAGAGGGTCTGAATGTAGAATTATTTGACGGAACGAAATAATAGGCAAAATTTGGATGACATTTCAATTGAGGATAGTACAATGACATGAAGAAATAGAAGAAGAGAATAGTGAAATAAGAATTGAAAAAGAAAACCCATTCGGAAGGCAATTGCCAATTTATTAGCAACAATAGCTATACTCATTTATAAAAAAAAATGACATTGTCTACTTGGTTTACTGTCAATCGAGGGAAAAAAGGGGAAACAGGCGGAGAAAAAAATTTCAAAGGGTAACATGAATGATTACTCAATGTCTAACAACATTTCTGTAACGAAGAAAGATTTTTTTACTAAACACTGTAAAGTAAATTTACATTTTCATGGCGTTTCTCATCTGATGTCGTCACAGAATCTTGATAGATAGGATTTTGGAATAGTTAACCCTAGAGTAAGATACCGTTATTTTTGCATCGACCGATGCCATTCTTTTACTGAACGAATCGCATGATATCCGCGACAAAAAGTATTTTTTATTAAGAAACATTTCGCTCTACGATTATCTTTTTGTCGCTGATTTTCTGGATAATTTTTCACCAACTTTTCTCTCCGCGCATTCTCTTGGTCTTGAGTCAACATGGTTCTTGGTTCTCTATTCCGAAGCGAGGATCTTAATCGTCATTCCTGATAATTCAGGACACGAGGGGTGACGGTGTGACGTCTAGGAGGCAATCCATTGTTGATCTTATGCTTCCGAGGAGGTGCATATCCCGGGAGCCGATCAAGCCGCAGATGTCGTTGGACATGCAGAGGATGCATCGGTCGCCGCTGAGAATGCTTGGTAAGAGTTTTTTTGGTTTCGATGTGAGGGAGTTCTTCCATTTGAAATGTTTGTGAATTATAACGCAGTCAAAAGAATAATACACTATTTTAAGATTTCAAATGTCTTAAAATAAGATTTTCAAGTCTTAATTTAAGACTTGAAGCTTTCAATTTGAGACCTTCATAGACTCAAGTTGATACTTTTGAATGATTCGAGTTAAGACTTTCAAAACTCAACTTGAAATTCCGCACCAAAGCGGTAAAACGATTTAAATCTCCTGAGCCCTTGGCGGAGTTTTCCACGAATATCTCCGAATCTAATTGAGATAATGAAATTTTCGATAGGACCTTTTTTGTAGAGCGCATTGCGGGCTATCAAAAAGGTTATGACAAAAATTTTGCTACCCCCCTTCGATTCCAAGATATTCAATGAAAACTGGCCAATAGCCAAAATCGACCCAAACCGTTTTGAAAGTCTCAATTTGAGATTATAAGTCTTAAAATGAAGCTTGTTATTTATCCTTTACCATTAAAACTTCTACAATATAAATGTGCCTTGAAACGATACCAATGACAATGGAAAACACATGAAAAAGTTACGTTCCAGCCACGTCGAAGGCAGGTTGCGTTCCGCCGTTGATACGTCGATCATCTTTTCCGACTTATTTCACCCTGGATGGCACTGTTTGTGATTCCTCTACACCACCACACTCACCAAGACGGCCATCAGTCACCGTGGATGGTGAAACCGGTGTCAACACGTCTGTTCTTCATCGCCGTGCACGACTCATTCGTCGCTGAGGTGGTGTTTTTTTTTCTCTTCCAACCGCTGGATAGGCACATTGTGATCGTCAATCAATGTTCTTTCGGTGAGTGTAAAAAAAAGGGTACAAATTATTCTTGAAAAAGCAGCCGGAGGATTTAATCATTCCGTATCATCTTCTCATGCACATGTTCAGGGAAGATTGGAGGCACTTACGGACGGGTTTCTTCGTCAACGGCTCGTGGATGCATTGATGGCCACCAATTTTTCGATTGAAGGCTGCTCTTCCTATCTCCGATATTTGGATATATTTCTAGAGTTACGTCAGAAACATATTTTTGTCTATTTATTAACTACCGGATTGACTTTTTCGACGTGTTTGGAGGGAGTCAAACTTTTTAGAAAACTATTCTGAAAACACATTTTTCGCTATTTCTACGGACTTCGTCTTACATTACAGATCTTTGAATGTGATACTATCAACTGTATGTGATATTGTATTCCGAATTATATTTGAAAAATATATGTTTATCGATGTTCATTGAGTGGATTCTATTGGAATAATGACTCCGCGGGAACTGGTGATTTGAAATTTCTACTTGGGTTGCGTTTTTGAACTCACAGCGGCATCTTGCGAGGCGCTGATGATGTGGGGTATTCACAACTGTTGGTATTGTGGATATCGTTGTTATCGACACACCCGGATGACTTTATTTGAATTTAGTGAATACAGTCGAGGCTTTATATAAGATACCTTGAGGACAGTAGGAGAGTGAATTCCGAGAATCGGGAAACCCCCACTACGGGCGCTTATAGAGAGGAGAAAAATAGGGATCAGCGGTTTGAAATAAGATACCTCACTCGTTGCGCCCGAATTCTATGGAACTTTCATTTTTACTAATTGGATATTGATAACTAATCAATTTATACGAGTTGAATGTTTTGAATTCGTATAGTCCGCGTTCCCTTTTCTCTCTAAACATAACTCCGCGTGATAGTTGGGGGACTTGAGAATAATCACTTCTGGACAGCTGAAGTACAAATTATTGAAAGTACGTAAATTAATTGAATTTTAATTAGGCTTTATTCTATTAAGATTATTCTGCGTCATCATTTTAATAATTAAAACGTCGAAGAAAAGGGGTGACCCTTGCGATCGTTTAACACTTCTGATTACTTCACTTGACTCTCACGTTTGAACTCTTGACCCTTAAGGTCATTTGACCCTTATAATCACTTCGTTCGTCCCTCCCGTTTGACACTCAACTCCGTTTAATCCTTATAGTCACTCTTTCCCCATTGAAAAATTATGGAGGCCATAGGTATCTTATGAGAAGCCCACAGAACTAAACATTCGGGAGGCGATAAAAGGGCCGAGAGTGGGGGTAAGCCTCGAGCGATCGGCCCTCGAGGTATCTTATAGAGAGGTATCTTATATAAAGCTTCGAGTGTATGTTTTTTGACTCAGAATAAGAGGTTGTGTTTCAAATAACTATTAATAGAACTTTTAGTCGCATTTGAAATTCGTTTTTATTTACATCAAATGAATAGTTTTGTAAATATGAACAAATGTCGGCTTGAGAAAATCACTGTTTAGATTGGGGATCGATTTATTAACGATTAATGAATGAATGAATCAATGAATGAATGAATTATTCATTTTATAGAATTAGAACACTTTTATTAAAATACCTTACAAAATCTTAAATAAACCCTTTTATTCGATTCGAAAAAAATCATCACTTCGTCCTTAATGACATTACATTTACAACAAGTTCTTGATCATTAAAACCCAGAAACGAGACTATATCAATGCCCAAGTATTTCGAAATCAATCTTATCCCCTTGCTCTCCCCTCGTCAATAATCGTACTAAATCACAAACTGAAATTCACCTATAAATTATAAATTCGCAGCAATATATCACAATAAAAAAACGCTTTGTAAATATCGTATGCATTACAGATTAATTATGTCAAACGTCAGTTGCATAATGCATTCTCCATCATCGATGCCTACAGACGCAAGCTATTTACTCTCCGCTTTTATCGCGAACCTTGGGTCAGCACTCAATACATCACGATAGTCCTCAATCCATCGAGATGGCTTGACTCAACCGTTTCCATACGTGCCATTCAGCAATCGCGACTTCAACCACATGTAGAACTCCACTTCGTCCTTGAAGATCTCACCCAGACGCTTTTTCGCGGATGGCTTCAAGGTCATTACTGTATTTTCATTGTGAGGAGTTTTGTGAGGCCCTGAGGATTGAATAGAGAGTCTGATTAGTCTAAAGATCATCGGATGAACGATCTATTTCAATTCAGTAGCGAAGTGGTAAAACGGTTTAAGTCGACTTGTTTCCCAGTTGTGTTTTTTAGAAATATTTCCCAATCTAAGGGAGATAGCGAAATTCGTGTAATCACATTGTTTGGTGAATAACTAGGCTTTTGGGGTGGATGTGAGAAAAACTGTGGAAATGAGGCTGAAAATTAATTGTAACACTGATTATAAAAAATCTCTGTTTATTTGTGGAATCGAACCACGTCGTTAATGAATTATGTACACTCTTTGGTATAAATTGTTACTGGTGATAGTCTTAAAGTCACTGTTAATTGTCTGCAATATTAATCAAGTTGAATCACTGATAATAATTGAAGTTTAGCTAATTATTGTGGTGATGTACTGAACGAAAGTATTAAATTTGGAATGCTATTAACGTTTGACTCGACTATATGATTACTGAAACGATATCGTAACACTACCAACTACTACTCGATATGAACTCGCTTATTTTCGGAATGCTACTGTACGTTTTTCTCTACCGGGTGCCGCGCTGACCTGTGTCCGTTGACCCGAAGCGTCACGGAGATTTTCGGAGATGGCCGAGATAGTCGACCGTGAAAAATATGGAGATTTAGCTGCGTTTCGAACACACATTTATTGTAGCTCTCAATCGGCTCTACAAAAAAGATTATAATAAAAATGTTACTATCTCCCTTAGATTCCGAGGTATTCATTGAAAACTGGTCAATAGTGGAAATTGACTTGAACCGTTTTACCACTTCGCTACTGAATTGATTGGGACTCACGGAGTTTTTTGTAAACTTTGAGAGCACCAGTGAAGAAGTACGGAAACTTGCGCTCAAGCTCGGATAGCGTCTCCTCCATGTGCTCTAGGAGTCCAATGACTTTGTACCACTTGAGAACATTCGCTTTCGCGCGTTCCAGTCTCCATTTGGTATTGATTTTACTGGAAAAACATGAGATTAGTTTTGAAGTTCTTTTTGGGTTTTGGTTACGAAGGGAAAAATTGTATTCATCAAATTCGAAATTGCTAATTTTTTGCGTCAGAAGGACTAATTTTGAATAATTTTGAAACCAATGTTCGGAGAAAGGGCAAAAATTTTAATATTGCGGCAATATTGGCTGCCAAAGTCGGGTCAATGTTGAATGCCAATGTCGGGCCAATGTTGGCTGGCAACGTGGGGACAAGGTTGGGTCAATGTTGGCTGTGAATGTTGAGATAATTTGACTGCCAACGTTAGGTCAATGTTGAGGCAAATGTTGGCTGACAGCATTTAGACAATGTTAACTGCCAACATTGAAGCAATATTGGCTGCCAACGTTGGATCAATAGTGGCTATCACCGTTGAGACAACGTTGGGGCGATGTCAGTTGCCAACATTGAGACAATGTTGGCTGTCATTGTTGAGAGACTGTTTGCTGCCAACGTTGAGGCAATGTTGACTGTTAACGTTGGGGCAATGTCGGCTGTAAACGTTGGGGTAATGTTAACTTCAATAAATCGTTGAATTCAATTCAAAATACATCATTATACAAATTCCATTAGAAGCAACCTGCTAATTTATTAGCAAAAATATATCGACTATGTAGTGACGAAAGCAATTTCCCAATTATTTGCTTTGAATTTTCAGTAAAATCTTAAATTTCATGATTTTTTCTCCCCAAATCAATTTTGATGTAACTCTTCTGGAAAATACTCGTTAACTTTCCATGAAATTTCAATTTCTACTAACAATGTCCCAGGAGCCGGATGAAATGTGACAGTCAGATCATAAATTGATCACGTTTATGTTGGGTCATGTTGCAAAATAGCACCCGAGAAAATCGTCCATCGATCTAGTAATCTACTTGTCTCGAAGACTATTATATCTAAAAGGAAAGTTGATGTGACATGCTTACGTGCATCGAGGATCCTGTCCGCAGAAATGAGATATAGATCCCCGATAAATGGCCGCAGCACCACCTCTGCGGTACCTGTCACAGCAAATCATATCTTTAATTGACGAGTTGCAGAAACTGGGGTATTGAATAACCGTATTAGTTCGCATGTGTTACATAAACCCCAGGATTTTTCAGTACATAATTGCCATCGCTATACCATGAATATGAAATACGCTCGCCGATTTCCCAATTATGAGAACTTTTGTAGTGAAAGTGAAATCGTTAATTGGGGGCGAGATTCCCAGATAATTAACCCTAGTCTGGTCACGATACGCGACCCTGCGGCTTGGTCACCTCCGCGGGGATTCCCCGCCGTGTTACTTCGGCTCCAGCGTTGCTGAACTCACTCTACACCGCCGGCCCGCGTTTAGCGAGTTTCCGGCAACGTCGCGTAGTCTCATTTAAGGATATCCAAGTATAACTTCCAGTTGGGTACAGACCACACGATAAAATCAACCATTTTCAAAGATCAAATTTGTCAATTAAATTGCGTGAGAAGAATTTAAAAAAAATCATGATTCAGCGTCATTCAAATTACATTTTGCACAGAATTATTGTTTTTTAAAATATTTGTTGTTTTATAAATAAATAATTGAAATTGTTTAAACTTTTGGAAATCATTTCTTCAAACTTTCATGAAATCGATTCCGGATAAACTTCTGAATACAATTGAAAATTTTTTACGATTCCGAACAAAGGATTTTTACGGTAGAAAATTGATTGTTTGTAAATTATTTATAGAAATTCCTCGTAATTTTAGAATATTGCAATTTTTAAATTATTTCATCAATCTTCTTTCAAAAGGAAAGTTTATAATTTTGTTTTCACAGTTTTTAAATGTTTTCTAACGGTTGAAAATCGAGATTCAAATTCAGACCAGCAAAGTTTAAATAATCAAATAATTGTAAAATTTCCGGAAACTTAGGGTCAAATGAGACTCAAATGAAAGCTCTGATGTTCGATTACAAAAGTCGAATTGCAAAAGTAACATTTCACTGAAAAAATAGCCAAATCACTTGCATATCTTTAATAGGGAAAAAAATAGATCACCTGTTGGAAATAATTTATTTCCTTTATGAATTTCAAAAATTCTGTTGTAAAAATTACTATAATTTTTTCATGACTTATGCGTAAAGTGAAATTTTAGCGCTACACACCTCCCACGAATCAAAAAACACTTTTACGCACTCATATCGAAATATACTATTTAGACACTTCAATGGAAAAAAATCAAATTTTTCCTTACGACTTTGGGCAGTTTCATTTAACATGGGAAAAAATAATTCAGCTGTTGGAAATACTTTGTTTTCTTTATGAATTTCGAAAATTATGTTGTTATAAACGCTACTATAATTTTTTAGACACTTCAATTGAAAAAGTCTATTTTTTTAAATTTTTCCGTTTAGCCAGTCCTTGCCAATTAAAAAAAATGAGGCGCTGTGGTGTTTTCCTCATATGATGACCAATTTAGGGTTAATCCGACGTACCTTTGGAGGCTCCTGGGATCCATGGGATCTCTCACTAATGACGTGAACACAGGCGCTTGTCTTCCGAACTGTGAAAAATTTAGGAATCTGACGTCACCGTCGAAACTCAGAGGGATTGCCTCTTGTCGGATGATGCTTGTTATTTCCTCCACTAGTAATTCCTAAAATAGAAATAATTCTTACAATAAATTGATGATTTTTCATGTAAATACTTGGGCAGAGAAAAAGGTTTACAATTTTCCGAACTAAGTTACTGATTTCAGGACACGAAATGTCTTGAAATATATAGTTCTTGAAATAAGGAATTGTTTATTCAATTTCAGAGGAAACATCTCTATATTTGAGGAGAAAACTCATTTATTTCAAATGAGAAATGTGCTTTAAATGCAAATAATCCAATTTCGATTCAATTTAAAAACATTTGCGTTGTGAACACATTCGAGAGATAATATTCTGGATTAATTGAGCATTAATTCAACACTAATTGAATCAATCTGTCAAGTGATATACTTTTAATAACAAAGGAGTTATGAATAATATTTTTAGACAATGATGAATTTCAGAACATGAAAAAATTTATGAATTAAAAAACGAGAATATTTGTAATTTGGGAAAGCGGATGTGCTTGATTGAAAAAAAATAATGTTCTTGTCAAACACAATTCTCATGAGGAATTTTATAAAGAAATATCTTATTATTTTAATAAATGCCAGTTGCAGTGATTACTCAATTGAATGCCTTATAAAAAATCCAAGTGGTTTGAATAATTAATAATTATTTTATTGATCCATTATTATGATTAATAGATGGTTTGATTAATTACTTTATTATGAAGAACTCCCTTCACAAAATAGAGTCTCATATAAACCAATGCTGCATATTTCTTTCGTTAATAATTTCTGTTATTAAGGACACTTTGAAACACACGTGTGACCTGAGTAGATTAATTTTAGAACGGGTAAAATAATCAATTCCAGATCAAGAGTGTTTTTAATTCAAGGAACCGGATATTCTTGATTGCAGAACACCAATGCTTTTGTCAAATAACTCTCTTGATGAATTTTATAAAGAAATATCTTATTATTTTGATAAATGCCAGTTGTACCGATTATTCAATCGAATATGAAAAATCCAACTGGTTTGAATGATTCACGATCATTTTATTGATCAATTATTATGATTAATAGATGGTGTGATTAATTACTATAATCCGCAATTCCACATTGAAGACCAATCCCTTCACATAATAGTGTCTCTCATAAACCAATAATGCATATTTCTTTCGCTAATAATTTCTGTTATTGAGGACAGTTGGAAACACACGTGTGCCCTGAGTAGATTAATTTTAGAACGGGTAAAATAATCAATTCCAGATCAAGTGTGTTTTTAATTCAAGGAACCGGATATTCTTGATTGTAGAACACAAATATTTTTGTCAAACATAGCTCTTATGGTGAATTTTAACAACTAAATTTGTGACGACTCTGAAAACATAATTTTTATGGGCGAAAATTGATTGTAAAAAAATTCAACTAAAAAAAAAATTTTTTTAAATTTTTGTTGAAAATTATTTATAAAAACTACTTGTAACCTTCAAACGTTTCAATTTTTCAATTATTTTATCGACCTTCCTCCAAAAGTAGACTTCCTAATTTTTTTTCAGATTTAAAAAATAATCCGATAAAATTTTTCATCGCCGATTTGAATTATTTGCTATTTTTTCATGTATTCTATGAATATGTGAGGATGGGAATTGAATTTATGGGTATGGGTTCATTATCCGAAAAAATATATCAATTTTAAAATTTTCCCCAGACATTGAGAAATTAAAAATTCTGTTTTCGTGTTGATCTCGTTTCTCTTCCTTTTTTCACTTTCTTCCATCAGAGTTAGATAATAGAAAGAAAATAGATTTTTTTCATTTTATTGATACTGATTGATGATGATCGATTTTTCTTGGCAATTTCCGTCTTCGGTTCCATTGAAATGAGATCAAAGAGATGTAAAATGTTCATATTCGTTCACATTTTCAGATCATTGGTTCAGATCAAGGGTCAGAAGGGGCTCAAATGAAAATTTCGATGTTGAACTACAAAAGTAGAAAAGCATTTCGCTGAAAAAAGTAGCCAAAGTACTTGGATATCCTTAAGGAAACTTTGAAAGACACTTCTGACCTGAGTAGACTACGCGTGATTTTAGAACATGTAAAATAATCAATTCCAGAACGAGAATATTTTTAATATGAGGAACCGGATATTCTTGATTCAAGCAAACCAATGTTTTTGTCAAACATAATTCTCATGATGAATTTTATGAAGAAATATCTTATTATTTTGATAAATGCCAGTTGCACCGATTATTCAATCGACTGTCTTGTAAAAAATCCAAGTGGTTTAAATAATTAATGATTATTTTATTGATCCATTATTATGATTAACAGATGGTGTGATCAATTACTATAATTCCCAATACTCCATTACGAAGAAATCCCTTCACAACATCACGCACGAAAAAAGTTAATAGAAAAACCTGTCGAATTCGTTAGATATTTTTCTTTTCTTCTCATCATGAAAATCAAACGAAAACACTTAGAAAATTTGAGCCGAGGAAATTCTATAGAAAATATCTCAATACAATAAGTTATACAGAAAACTTGAATTCTATTGACTTTTTCTACTGAATATTTTCTATTGAACATTTTAATGAAATCGGCCAAAACCTAATAAAACAGTTCAATAGAAATTCAATAGAATTTTCCAACGAATTCGATAGGTTTTTCTATTAAATTTTTTCGTCCGTGATATTTTAAATATTTTTTCGCCACCCATTTCTGTTCTCTTTTGAAATTCTAATTTTCATCATCAATCACACAATTTCATAAAAATATTAATAGTGAATGTTTTCATTTCCTCTATGTATCTCTTTCTAAAATGAATATCATTAAAAACACTTAAACGCGTTTGATGACTATCCATTGAATTAAAATAAATCCTTCAACAGCGGAAAACCCAAGTGATTTGAATCCCTCATTGGGATTCAACCACTCACCAAATTCATTCGACGTCTTATAAATCTTATTTGATTCCTATGAGATCACACTGTCACAACAACTCCATAATTAACGAAGAATTCCTCTCCAAAACTGCGCACCGATCGAGATCAGAGAATTCCATTGTGAAATCGCAAAAGACCGGTCTTGATCGGTGATCAGAGACTAATCCCCCCTGTCTACTGGATTCCCATCCACCCATTCACAACTACTTTGAGTAACATAAATGCCTAATCACTGTAATTCGTGAATAGAAAATAGAAATAGAGGAGAGTCGATCATGCTAAAGTTCACGGGCCGCTAAAGTTCAGGCGCAGCGATTTCTTCCGAAGAGGTTTCTAGAGGCATTGTTATTCCTTTCACTCGACATTTCTTCATTTTTCATCCTTGAAATGCTCCAATTGAAGTTTTTCTCTGATTTTTATCAAAAATTTCGCAGGGTTCGGGACAAGAAAGAATAATGAAATTAAATTATTTAATTGAAAACAAAAAATTGACTTTTTACATTTTACTTTAAGGTGTTCCATGCAAAAATTAAAAATAATGAAAATAATTCGAAAAATTCATGAGAAAAACGTCTGAGTATTCTGCGCTATTGGGAATTTCTCCGTATTCATTCTGGATTTCGACCTCAGGCAAAACAAGTGGAAAACAAGTGGTTTTTTTCGCAAATAAATTAGCAATATGCTTCCGAATGGTCATTTTGCACATTATTTTCTTCTGTGGTGTATAATTCATTGTTCATTTTATGTTATTAAATTGAATGAGATTTATTTTTAAACAGTTGTGTCAGACTTTCAACTTAGCTGAATATTATCATTATTATTATTATTATTATCCCTTTCTTTTATACAACCGATTGTCTTTTTTGCGGTCCTATCACTCCCCTTAGCCCTTTGTTGCTTCACGGGCTGACATTCTCGTCCTAACTACGTGGCATTTACTTCAGGAGCTAAATTTCCTATTCACGTATCGGTGTTTATATTTTCGTTCAACGGTTTCCTAGTTATTGAAATTGGCTTTTTTATCGGCTCTGAATTCCTCAGGTTTGTCGTCTACATAAGCCACGTTTAGGCCGTTGTTATCGATTATTATTAATATATGATGGAAAATTCGAAATTTGCAAAACTCATCATAAAAATAAAATCAACAGATGTAGCTGTCGTAATTATCGTTCAACTTCGACAGTGTGGCATTGTAACTAAAATTTCAAGCTATAATTGAATTCATTTGAGGCATGAAATCTCAAGATATCCCCGGAATTCCGATTTTCAAAAAATAGAAAAATTTTGCAATTTTTATATCAATCAAAACAACGATTATTGCTATCGCCTTCATCTTCGAACTTGGTCAAGAGCGCATCTAAACAATTTTTTAAGCCATCATTCAATGAATTCAGACAATTTTTTGGACTTATCGTGGACTAAGAGTAAGACGGCCATGATATCGCAGATAACAATGAGAGGAAAAAGAAAGGAGGGGATGCAGGCTAGAGGAGGCGTTTCAAATCGAGAATTACTTCGATAAAACCAATGAAATAGAAAAAATAAAAATAAAAATATTCCAATGCACATTAAAATTGCCAGGGATTTAATCCGGCCTCAAAAATAATACCCCCCCCCCGTCGACCTCCGGACAAATACTGACGAAAAACCTTAAATCTATTGAATTTTGATCGGTTTACACGTTTGTTCAAAGGAAAATAATAGTATATTTCGTTACGAGTGCGGAAAAGAGTTTTTAGCTCGTGGGAGGTTTATAGCACGAGCCCGAAGGCGAGTGATGTAATCCCACGAGCCAAAAAACATTTTTCCCACGAGTATTGAACAATATTTTTCATCCCAATGTGTGGAAAAGGGACGTTTTAGGCACGCGAAACGCGTGCGCGTTTTTAGCGTGCCTAAAATGTTACTTTTTCGCACAGCGTGATGAAATAGTATATTTCGTAACGAGTGCAAAAAACATTTTTTCACGAGTTACGAACAATATTTTTCATCACAATGTGGCGGAGCGTGCCGAAAAGTTCACTTTTCGTCACAGCGTGATGAAAAAATATTTAATATTTTCACATTTCATTATATTTGTAAAAAATTAGTAAAAAAAATTATACTGTTACGTCTCACATTTCTTTATATTTATAGTAATTTCAATGATGAATTCCCAATGAAATTATCAAATCCTTCACCTGTTGAAGTGTTGAAAGCAATCCACCGTCCCCCGGTGGCAGTCTAATGTGTTTAAACGCATTGTACCCCTGCAGCCGTTGAAGTATAAGAACAAGTAACTCAACACCAGCACCTGGTACTCTGGTTACCATGAGTATGTCCTCATTCATCTCGGGCAGCATTCCCCGGATGCCGAGCTCGGCGAGCGAGGGTGTGACCGAGTGATGCGTCTGCGGAATCAATTGAATTGGAAATAGACATCCTTCTCCGTGCACCAAGTGTTAATAAAACTTTCTTGATAAGTTGCGCGAAAGTAGTGGTTTGCTTTATTGATTCAACACCGGAAATACGCGTTCACTTTACGAGTTGTTAAGTCGTTTGTGTGCATTCCGGGGGTTCGTAATTAGCAGGTTCGATGTAAGGAGTCAGTTTTTATTTTGTAGTAATGATAAGTCGTTTGGGAGAATGATCGGATAGTCGAGAGTTTAATGAGAATCGGAGGAACTGGTGAAGGATAGGGCGAGGAATTTTCAGTGACTGCTGATGCCCTTTCATCATGTCCTCTTTCCTGTCAGATTCGACATTCCTTTTTTCAATTAATTGTTTATAATCAGTCTCATTGCGAGAAGTAAAACGACCGAGGAGAATCATATGCCCTAATTTATCAGCTGTTAAATTTTCATATTGCAATAAATGATTTGCTCATGTTCTAATTACTACGCTCACTGAATAAGATTTTAATCATAATTGCAATTCAATTCCTTCTAGAACACACTTTAGAATGTGAATTTCTAGAATTCAATGTTTGTTGATACTCTGGTAAAAGTGCGTGCTCACACTGTTATCATTTTTTAGTTGGATCACACGGTAATTCAATTAATCTGTTGTTCATCTCATCAATATAATTGCGTGCTTAGAATATTGTCATCTCGTGTTTTCAGCACCAAATTAAAAATTAAAACTTCATTTGGAATATTAAGTCACAGCTTCTTTTTATTCATATCAGAAATTTTGTATNCTGTAGCGAAGCGGTAAACCGGTTTAAGTCGATTTAGACTATTGGTCAGTTTTTAACGAATATCTCGGAATCTAAGGAAGATAGTTATGTTTGTGTAATAACCTTTTTTGTAGCTCTTAATTCGCTCCACCCAAAAGGTTATAATGACAATTTCGCTATTTGTCTTAGATTCGAAGATATTCCTCAAAAACTCAGCGAAGAGCTAAGTCGACTTGAGCCGGTTTACCGCTTCGCTACTGATTTGTTCAAAGTGAAAAAATCGATCATCATTTTCACTATATTGCATTCAGATTCTCCTATCCTTAACGTCAAACATATGAGAAAATCTTATAATTCTAGCTATTAATTCTAATCAACTTTGTTCGAAGAAAACCTTAGTAAACGCAATATTATGAAAGTAGAATTATTCTACATATTTTCCTCTGACCTAAATGATTTGGACAATTATGATTCGTTTATTCATGTTTCATAGAATGGTATTCAATTCTCTTTTGTTTGTTAGGCGGCCTTCATGAAAATTCAACGCAAGACGATTGTACTCATGAAAACCGCCTTACTTTCTCCATTCGGTCGAGATATCCGCCATGTTCGAGTTCTCCTCTTCAATTCGAGATATTGCACTTGCTTTTTTTAGAAAGGATGAACGAATGCATGAACGAATCTGATGTTACAATTTTTTCATTGTTTGAAGGAATTATATCAATTTATGCAAGGATAATTTACTTTTTAACGTTCATTATTTTTTTCAAAAATTCCCTTCCGAATGAAATTTATAAAATTTACGAAATTCAGTAGGAAATTTGTTTTGTGATTTCAAAAATACTAGGTTTAAGGTGGAAAGTTAATTATTTATCAACCATTTAGGATAAAAGGTCATATCAATTGCAAAAATTGCAGATGTAATCATTTTATGAATTTCCGCGAAAGATTCTATAATTTTTCTCCAAACGGTTCAAAATTGGCTAATCCAATTATGTGAATAAGGTCATTGAACTGTCCCCATTCAATTCCATAGAAATTCTAAAAAAATAATTGAAATTAGTTTTTTTTAATTGAATAATCGAAATTAACTCTAAATTAAGACAAAAAATTGGAACAAGAAGGAATAATATTGATTGATACAATTCCCAAATAATCATTTCAATATTATTTGAAAACCCTAATTACTCACTTGGAAATTGATTGGAAAATCTTGAAAAATTGAAATAATATCGCTTATTCTTCTCCATCGCTTTAAAAAACATAATTTGTCAAAACTTGAATTTTCCGAAAAGGTTGAATTTTCCAATTTTTTACAGGTCTCAATTTTTGATAGATTCCTATGCAATTTCATGTCATTAAAAAAAAATATCTAAAATTATGTTTTTTAAATGGAATAATCGAAATTAACTCTGAATTGCAAGGAAAAAATGCGAATAAAAAATAATAACATTAATTGATTCAATATCCGAAAAATAATTTAAATACTTTCACGGGGAACATATAGTATTTCGGCAGAGCAATTTTTTCTCTCCTTGTCAATGTGAAATCCTCAATTACTAACTTGGAAATTAGTTGATGCATCCTGAAAATCTGAAATAATATCACTCGTCCTCCTCCGACTCCTCTCATTAATCTCCACTTCCTTCACTGGTTTCACATTGAAAACAATGAAGATCACTGTTAACAGTCCCAGGATCACTGTCACTAGTCCCCGCGCTCGCCTCATGAAGAACAAAATCCCCGAAAAAATGACAGAATAAATTTTCTCCCTCATCGATTCGCTAAGAGAATCCTTCCGGTGCCTTCTTTGTCCATATCAGATTAAAATCAAAAGGAAGATAGGAGTATAACGCGAGGATACACGTCTGCGGCGTGACTGAGGAGAATGTGAGTGGGTCAGACTGCGGACCCTGGGCCCCACATTCCCGCGGAAAACGTACACACGAATCTTCCCCCACTTGATTACACTTCATGCATTTCTTCTGCCCGATTGTGAGTAATTCGCCAGGTGGAAATGGGAGTCCTAAGAGCACTTGGGTAATTTGTGGTGGATTATGCAAATGAGCTTGCACACAAGTTTGTAATTATTCATTATGAAGGTAGTTTTATTGTCAATTACCTTTCAATAATGAGTTATTCCATTGATTTTAATTTTTTTAATTGAATCGATATTTCTTCTTTGTCTTTGATGAACAATATTTTCACTAAAGATTCATGTTTTTCATCTGCAGTATATAGCAGACGTGTTCATTACGAAGGAAGACAATAAGTGATACTACGCAGCAGAAACGAATGTCTGAATTTTGCACAGCGTTTTTAGACATTTTTCAGACACTAAAAAACGTCGGAATAAAATGGGTATTTGTCTGAATTTCAGACGAACAGCTGCCTAAATAGCTTAATTCATGTTTGAAATTCAGACAAATTTGCATTTTCTTCAAACGTTTTGTAGTGTTTGAAAAATGTTGACAAACGGTCTTCACACACTTTTTGTAGACTTATGCATTTCTTCTGTCCCGGATAATTTTGCAGTGGAAATGGTAGTCCTAAGAGCACTTGGGTAATTTGTGACAGATTATGTAAACGAGCTTGCACACAAGTTTATAATTATTCATTATGAAGGTAGTTTTATTGTCAATTACCTTTCAATAATGAGTTATTCCATTGATTTTAATTTTTTTAATTGAATCGATATTTCTTCTTTGTCTTTGATGAACAATATTTCCACTAAAGATTCATGTTTTTCATCTGCAGTATATAGCAGACGTGTTCATTACGAAGGAAGACAATAAGTGATACTACGCAGCAAAAACGAATGTCTGAATTTCGCACAGAGTTTGTATACATTTTTCAGACAGTAAAAAACGTCTGAATAAAATGAAAATTCGTCTGAATTTCAGGCGAACAGCTGCTTAAATATCTTAATTCATCTTTGAAATTTAGACAAATTTTCATTTTATTCAAACGTTTTATAGTGTTTGGAAAATCTCTACAAAAGGTGTGTGAAATTCAGACATTCGTTTTTGCTGTGGAAATGAATCATCCCAGCGCACCTCGGGTGTAAAAAAACTACTAAACACTTTATGCATTCCTTCTGTCCCGGATAATTCTACGGGTAGAAATGGCAGTCCTAAGAGCTCTTGAGTAATTAGTTATGGATTATGCAAACAAGCTTGCACAGAAATTTGTAATTATTCATTATAAAGTTAGTTTTATTGTGAATTAATTTTCAATAATGAGTTATTCCATTGATTCTTTTTTTTAATTGAATCGATATTTCTTCTTTGTCATTGATGGGCAATATTTGCATTAAAAATTCATGTTTTTCATCTGCAGTATATAGCAGGCGGGTTTATTACAAATGAAAGACGATAAATAAGTGGCCCTAAAGGAATCCCAGGGTATCTCGGGTGTAAAAAAACTACTAAACACTTTATGCATTTTTTCTGTCCCAGATAATTCTACAGGCAGAAATGACAGTTCTAACCGCTCTTGGATAATCTGTTGTGGATTATTATATGTATACTGTTACAAAACAATATCTGAATTTTCCGAGAAATGACACTGAATTCAATTCAACGGAAGAAAGTCTATGAAATTTCAAGTTTCTCCGAAATTCAAGGACATTCCTGATTTATCAGTGGAAAAAAGAGGAAAGTTCCACAGTGTACATGAATTTCCGACGGGAAGATGAAAATTCAAAAGACAATTCCCTGAAATTTCGAGGAAATGAAAATCCAAGGATATTTTTGCCGGATTTTTCCTCATTTGCATTAATTTTCATGGAATAATTCAATTGAAATTTACAATTTCCATGGATTTTTCCACGAAAAACATGAATTTTCAATGATAAAATTCAATGAAATTTCGATGAAACTGTCACTTATTTGATAAAGCTAGTTTTATTGTCGATTACCTTTCAATAATGAATTATTCCATTGATTTCAATTTTTTAATTGAATCGATATTTCTTCGTCGTCTTTGATGAACAATATTTGCATTAAAAATTTATTTTCTTCATCTGAAATATATAGTAGACGTGTTCATTACAAATGAAAGACAATATGCGACACTAGATGAATCACCTCAGGGCACCTGAGCTGTAAGAAAACTACTCTAATGCGGGGAAAACTTGGCGCCGTGAATTCTCAGCCAGAAAAGGATGTAAAAATCTGAACAATGGCTAGAAAAATTTGTTCATTCTACAGAAATCGACTGAAGTGAGTTGAAAGAAACTTGAAGACGATAAATAACGTCAATAAATGTTTAAAAAGACGAGGTGGAAGCGCCGCCACCTTTGAAGTTCCTTTCGCCAGAGGGAGGAAGCATGCAAGCAAGATGGCGGCACCCACACTTATCACCCACCTCGCACTTTTGAACATTTCTCAAAATTACTTATTATCTTCAAATTAACTTCAACTCGTTTCATTCAGTTCCCACAAAAAGAACGATTTTTTCTCGCCATCTTTCAATTTTTTTTGGCCTCTCTTGACAGACAATTTATGGCGCAAAGATTTCCCGCTCTCTCACTATTTTTTTTATTCCCAAGGCGTTTTACCAAGAAAGTTTCATGATTAACGAACCATCAACGTGTGAACGAATCAATTAGCTCCCGTGACAGGGCTAAAATTCATTACCCCATAATGACCAATTTTCTCCAAAAATAATAATCACAAATTGCCCGATGTACATCGCTTTCATCAACCGCCTCAATAAAAATGATTGTTTTCCGAGCACCTGAACGCATATCCCTCGAGCCTCAGTGAAAGTCTGCCACCTCTGAATGCATATATTCCCACCGATTACTCATTCAAACGCTCTCGTGCAATCCTCGGTGAAAGAGGGTCACTCCCACAGGCGAATCCTTTCCTCAGTTTCACTCCGAACGTGCGGGTAACAACATTCATGAAAAATAAACACAGAACTAAACAACAGCATTCGTCTGAATGATGGTATGGTTTTATTTACCGGAAAATTCTATTATCACATATGTTTAATCCCAACAATAAAAATATATAATTTTACAACATT